CCTGTAGGCAAGGAGAAGAGGTGGCTGCTCTGTGTGACCTTTTCTGTGATGTCTGTGCTGCAGGAGTTAAGACTGGCCGTTGTTTGAAAGACAGGGACAGTTTCAGGAGGACTTGTGAGATACTGGCTTGGTGCCCAGTGGAGAAAAGATCCAAGCCCAAGTACGTGGCCATCCTATGCTGTTTCCAAGCTTGAGTTGCTTGGCCTGTGTGTCATTCAGGGGAGTTTCTGGGTTCCCTCTGCTTGGACGCTTGCTTGAATGTTGGCTGTTCTAGTGCAGGAGGGAGCTCTGCATGGCTCCCTGGCACGACGGGCCCCTCTGTTCCCTCCTGCTTGGCTCACTGGCTGTCCCAGAGCTGTTTTCAGCTCTCTGCTTCCTCCCCAACCCGCACACTCCTCACCAACTCCCTGCTGGCAGCGTGGGGAAAGTGGCACAGCTGACCTGGTGCCGAGGGATGAAACTGAGCTGTTTCTAAAATGACAAGTCAAGTTTTAGCATGTGGGCGGGGTACAAACGTAAAGCAGATAAACCTTTCTCTTTCAGGAAACCACTTCTCGCCAGTGCAGAAAACTTCACTGTTTACATCAAGAACTCAATCCGCTTCCCCAAGTTTAAGTTCTCCAAGTAAGTTCAGGTGCTTGGAGATCCCTCTGTCATCTCCATCACAGAACAAATAACCTCAGTTTGCTTCACTGTCCTCTTCCTGCCTGAGGGTTGGGGTGTTGAGGCAGCTGTTCCCTCTTCTGGGGCCTTTGGCTTCAGACTGTTCGGAAACAATGAGGTGATGAGGCCTTGGAGCTTCTCAGAGAGCAAGTGGGATAAGGCTGTGCTTCACCTGCGATGGATCCTACAGCACGGGGTGCACCAGAGCTCCTAGGGCCGATGGATCTGTCCACCAGCCAGTGCATGGTCAGGTTCCTGAGCTGCTTCTGCTCACGGATATTCCTCTTCTTCCATAAAAATGAAGGTGCCTGGACAAGGCTGGGAAAATGCAAATTTAACAATATTTGTTTGTATTTGCTGCTACAATATGAACAAAATACAGACCTGTAGAAAGGAGTGAGTTCTTGTTGTTCTTCCAGGCTCAGCCAGACATTTCTGGCATCTTTATTTCTTTTCCTTGAGAAAACCAGGCGGCCCTGGAGCACTCTGGAGTTCTTTCTTGAGCCCAGATTCAGCAGGTCTAGTCCTTGTCTGGCCTGGAGGTCATTTTTGTGTGGGCAGACTGACTTCACTGGGCCAGCAGTGGAAAGGCTCGCGGGGTGAGGAGGCTGGTGACAACGTGCCATTTCTGCTGTGCACGAGGGTGCTGGAGAAACCTCTTGTCTCTGCAGTCTTGGTGGCATAGGCTGTGCAGGCAAGCAAAGAGGGAGACAAGGTGGCTTTGCCTTTTCCCTACATGCAGGGTGAATGTGCTGGCAACTGACAACGAGTCCTACCTGAAGAGCTGCCGCTACAGCACAGAGCATCCCTACTGCCCCATCTTCCTCCTGGGGAACATCGTCAGGTGGGCTGGGAGCGACTTCCAGGAAATGGCCTTGGAGGTAGGAGTGTCCCTGGGGTTCCAGTGGCTTCCCAGCTGGCCGCGTGGCTCTCTGGCTGGTGGGGAGGAGAGCCCAGGGAGCTGCCTCCTGCCCAGGGTGCAGTGGAGAGGTGCTTAAATTCAAGCTGCTCTCGTTTGTCCTGTCCCCAGGGAAGGGGAGGCAGGACACTGTGGCTCCTCTGGAGGAGATGGTTGGGTCAGTTATCTGCTACTCAGGGCTGCCCAAACCACTGCCCTGCCAGCAGGGTCTCTGTTTAATTGCAACATTACCACACCACTGGTTTAAACCCAGAACTCTGGAAGGCCAGTGGGGGTCCTCTGCTTAGAGAATGCCCCGGGAGGCTTCCTCTGTGGGAAATGGACACGTTTCTGCACAGAGTCCTGGGACTGCAGCACCAAAGAGGCTGCGACCCCGTTTGTGCAGCCCAGGGGGGAAGATGGGGCCAGTGTGTGGCATCCCGGGAGGCAGAGGGTGAGAAGAGTGTAAGCTTTGTGCTGGCTTCTGCACTTGTGAGCCTCATCCCTGCATGAAAGAGCCTTTTCTCCACTGAAGTATGCTACAGCCACTTGAATGAAATCAGTGTCCTGGGATGAGAAACCTCCTCCTAGGATACCAGCACAGGGAAATGTAGGGCTGTGTGTAATGTGAGTAGTACCACAAGCATGACCTTAGCCCGTGCAGGAGTGCGTGTGCTCGTGTCTGTGACCAGAAGCACAGCTGTTCTTGTCCCTGGGGAAAACTTGCCCAAGGATCTGACAAATTTGAAGACACTTTAATTGATCTAAGCTTAAAAAAAACCTCACACTGTCTCTCTCTTTCATTAAGGGTGGTGTGATAGGAATTCAGATTGAATGGAACTGTGATCTTGATAAAGCCCCTTCTGAATGTAATCCTCACTATTCTTTTAGCCGGCTGGATAACAAGTTTTCAGAAAAATCCATCTCTTCTGGGTACAACTTCAGGTAAGTAAAGAGGAGACTACGATGCAGTACCACAGTTGGGCTGGGCTGGTTTGGCTGTTGGAGCTTGGCACTGAGGTAGTGCCAGGCTCTGCCCCAGCCGGGCACGCTGCTTTGCAGAGGAGGGGAGGGAGGGAGCCATGCTCATGGCACCTTAGAGCTGTTTTTGACAGGGAAATAGATCTGTTTGAAGAGATAGGTGAATTCAGATGGGTTCCTGGAGGTGAGGGAGGGCAGGTGATGGAGTTAAAAATCAATATTGTTGTATTCCAGGTTTGCCAAATATTACCGGGATGCTGAGGGGGTCGACTACCGGACGCTCATTAAAGCATATGGAATCCGCTTTGATGTGATGGTGAATGGCAAGGTGAGGCCCCAGGGCAGAATGTTTTAGAGCCTGGAGAGGAAAAAAAAAAAAAGTGGGGGATATTTCTTAGTGGGAAGGCAGCGCTGGGTTGAGAACAGCCTCCCTGGCTTGTCGTAGCAAACGGCTCCTGCCATTCATCCATGTGGAGCTCACCCTATACAGGGAAGGAGATGACCTGGAGGGCGGATGAGTCTGGTCTCCTCTACCTAAAACCAGGCTCATGTAAAGTCTGACAGAAGTAAACGTGCCCCAGAGACGTGTTTTCCATGCGTATGCACTGCAGAATAAAGAAGCCTAACCCAGGGATGACGCAGGATTAGAAATGCAGCCGTGGACAGTTGGATCTGAGGCGCACACAGAACATCAGCCTCCCAGATTGTTCACTGCCTGCTTGTTGCTAACAAAACACACCCACAGGCACTAGTAGCTTCCACTGTGTTTATACCACACCCTTCAGTTTGTTTCTTGAGTTCTTCTTTCACTGAGTACTTCTTGACCTTTTTTTTCTTTTAGGCAGGGAAATTTAACATCATCCCCACCATTATCAATATCGGTTCGGGGCTCGCTCTCATGGGAGCGGTAAGTGAAGGTATTTTCTTAAAGTACCATATTGGGACTCAGATCCCTCACTGAGCTGCTAAGAGGATAAAATGGGACGGTTGGTTTGTATCTTCTCCAGCAGAGTTTTTGCTGCTCTGACTGCTTGGTCAGGTGCGTGTCTGTGTCCTGTCTCAAAGGCAGGACCTTAATGTACCTTGAAGTCTAAATACCCCCAAGATTACATAGAGTATGAAGGAAAACATGGCTCCTACAATGTATTCTTTTCTAATTAATGCTCATTGTTAATTAGATCAGAACACTTCCTCTTCTACTCCAAAAATATTTGAATGTCCTTTCTCTTTGCAGGGAGCCTTCTTTTGTGACCTGGTGCTGCTGTATCTGATTAAAAAGAGTAACTTCTATCGAGGCAAAAAGTATGAGGAAGTAAAGTAAGTGGGCTTGGCTTCTGTGTTTAAACATAATGGCTTTATTATTATGACTAATAGAAATAGAAGGAGATACGGGAACACAGTAAACATTAATGGCAAACAAAGGCCAATTCCAGGAAATTATATTCCTCCGAATGAGTTCAGCCAAGTTACTCCCTCCCTCCGTAATTCAGTGCTGCAGTTAGTTGGGGAGCAAGGAAGCTGCTGTGTCATGGTTGGACTATAAATGGCCTCGAGCTGTCGGTTTATAATGATTGAAGATGGAACTGGGGCAGCTCCAAGAGCTCCAGAACCTCACGAAACGGAGAACTGGGGCTTTAGCTGTACGAGGGTGATGGTCTTTGCAGAGAGGTGTGGCTGGGAGCCTCTTGCCCACACTGCCTGAAACAGAAATAGCCTGCTTGCCTTGTCTGTCACCTTTGCCTGTTTCCTCAGGTCCAGTTCCAGGAAATCGTTATCGAGCCCTGCACTGAATGGGAACCAGAGCCCTGAGCAGCTCGGAGGGCTCTAGGCACAGCAGTGGGTCTGCCAGCTGGAGTCGTGTTCCAGGGAAACCACACCAGTGTGAAATCACACCAGGACTGGGAGGTGGAGATACCCCAGACCAGGTCTGCTCTCTATTATTGGAATTTCCAGAGGAAAAAAAAAAAAAAAAAGTCCTTTAAAGAACGCCCTTCATTCCCAAAGATGTTCTCTGGTATCCTGAGCTTGCAACAACGTGTCACCACTATGGATTTATAAAAGGATTTTATAAAAGGAAAAAGAAGGCACCAAGTGAATGTTTTTATATCTGTTGGTAGATCTGTCTGTGCCAACGTCACTAGCCAGAGTTAGCCTGTGGCTGTGCTTTGCTTCCATGGGGGGAAGAGCCGTGATGTGCAACACCACTGGTGCTCTCGGGAGGGCTGAGATTCAACCTGTCTCCTGCTCCACTGGCTTGTGGCCACCCCTCCCGACTCTCCCTTCTGTTCCGTGCAAGATTAGATGTCAAGCAGCAGGACTGCTCTTGTCGGGGAAATGCAGCGTTTCCCTTCTCAGAGCCCAGGGGAAAAGGGGCTTGTTACCCTACAACGCCCCTGCTGAGCGGGCCTGGGTCAGGGTGGGGCAATTACTCTTTTTTTGTGGGGGGTGTGTATCCATTAGGGCTGGAAACGGTGCTCCTCCAGGAAAAGCCTTTGTCACGGCTGCAACAAGGTGCTCTGCTCATCTCAGGAACGGCAGGAGACAGTCCTGCCGCAGCGCTGACTGGAGAATCAGCTCAGCCGTGGCTGGGTCCCAGCTACGTCACCCGCACCCACCGTCTCCATTTGCAGTTGGCCCAGAGAAGCCACCTTTCAGAGCACAGAGCAGGTAACAGCAGGCAGAGGAGCACGCTGAAGCAAGGCAGGGAGCGAGGTTGTAGTGGCTGACGGGGCGGGGCAGGGGGTGAGCACACTGGAAAGCAGCGTGGCACTGGGAGCACCTGCGCAGGGATGCTCTTGGGTTCTCCCTCCTCTGTCCAGTGGCTGGTTCCGTTTGCTGAGGATCGACCCTTGGGCATCGCTTGCTCATTGCTCATGGTGGGGAGAGATCTGGGCGGGGGACTTCATGCTTCTGCTGGTTTTCGTAGTAGCCCGAACTGTACTGCAGAGACTGAAAAGGGGAGCTCTGTCAGGTGAGATGGATTTTGCCAGATTCTTCCAAATATACCAACAGGAGGAAAATTTAGAGGCCAGATGTCTGCTAGTTCACCCCTCTGGTAACTGCCCATACAAGTGCTCCTTTGTTTCTTGACAGAGAAACGTTTCATTGCAGCCTGTTTTGTGAATTTATGCTCATGTGGGGATGTAACTAATCTCAGAAAAGTGCTTATAGAATATCATTGTTTAAAGTTTGCATTTGCTTAAGCTGACAAGAACCGACCCACCAGCTCCTGAAGACAGTAGGTGAATAAATACTCCTGCCTCACTTAAAGCTTCCACACCGTGGCTTGGCGCAGACTGATCAGTGTTCTGTAAATGCTGCCGTGTCGCCGCTGATCAGGAGTCGTCACGGCGAGGATTTAGTGTTTCTGTGCGCTCTTTGAACACCAAGATTTAAAAGACTCCTGCTGCAGCATCCTTACTAGTGCTAGGAGAGCTGTAGAGGGTGGCGTTACAGAGCAGCTGTGAGCGAGTATTCTGCAGAAATGGAAAGAGCAAGTTGCACTCACCGGTGCTTTAACTTTAAGGTGGTTACTCTGAGGGTACAGGTTGATTTTAAGTTGAAATTCATCTTTGCTAGCAGTGGCAAGCTCTGAATGCAGTCACTGATAGCAAATCCCAGCCTAGGCCACTCCCTCTGCATCTGCTCAGATGCAAGTAATTATGGAGTGAAACATTTAGCCAGAAAATAAGAATTAAACACTAGACTTACTTAAAATAATTTAGGATAAGCTGTGTACCTCTGATGCTGTACTTGTATCCAAAGCCTCCTCTAGGCAAACACACTCGCCCTGTGTGTAACTGCACTAGTCTGGCCTGTTAGAATTACCGAGCCAAACAAACGGCACAGGCTTCTCACTGTCAGGGCTTCGTTCTATTTGATCATTTCTGGATGGTGAAACACATGGTGAACCCCACATGTGACATCAGGCCAAGGCACAACTCACGGAGACCAAGAAGCTCATTGTAACACGTAAAGCTGACTGTGCTCCACGGAAACCAAAACATCCCCTTGGTAGATGACCAAAGTGATTTCCTGAATTTAAGTCTTGAGGGACTTCAAGTCCCCAAAAGTCCCTAGAATATTTCCCTTCTTTATACCCAGTGTTTAACACAATTCCCGCAACTTTTGCCATCGATAAAACATAACCAGATCCCTTCTCAGGAGCTCGTTTTATTTTTTTTTTTTCTCCTTGTATTTAATGTACAGCAATAAAATTTGTCTCTTTAGGGCAATGCTCTCCAAGACTCTTCTGTACAGTGTGGTTTTTAGGTTGCACACACCACCTTTTCTTTGTGATACATACTTATGCTAAGCAAGTCAATTAAACACTTCAGTTTGCACAAGCAGGTCTATAGCAAAGATACTGCCCCTCTGGTGAGTGATCAGCATTTCCTTTCTGTTCCTGCCAGAGGAACCACAACCACACACTGTTCATTGTGGAAAGTGCCAGCAGGCTTACAAGTGTGTTCTGTAGAGTGAGCTGGCAGGTAATGAGACACTGCACACACTTGGTTGTCTGTGTTTCACTGGACACAACAGTACTAAAAAGGAGCAAAGTGTGACTTGTGAGAGCATTACTTATCAACTTTGGTATATGCCAGTGAACAATATCCATGACAGTGTCATTTACTGATAGCATGTCCATACAGCAATGGTGGAAATAACATCTGCATTAGCAACTCCACTACATTTCTGTAGCAAACCTTCATATACACTTAATTACATGCTACTGTGTGGTATTTCCTTGTGTCAGTAGATTATTTTTTGAGTGCTGTGTTACACGCTGCCTTCACCAGTATTTGTGTGCAGGGACAGGCAGCAAATCTAGAAGGGATTTATAACTGGCACATCTCATCCAAACTGCGAAGAATACAAGGGACTGGCATTAACCACAACTCACAGTTGTGCCTGCAATTAGGGACAGGAGTTATTCCTTAACGACCAAACAAATGGGAGGCATCTGTGTGGTGTTTCACATTCTGTTTAATTAGAACAGTACTACTGATTCATGTGTACTTGGACATAATTTACCGACAGTATTAATACAAGCAATGAACAACAGTTTAAAAGGTGAGCTGGCCTAGTTGTGTAGATGAATTCTGGCAACAGTCCTCCCGCTTTATTAAAAACCACTGCAGCTAAAGTGGCTCCTGGTTGGTTTAGTAGACATGAACCATGCCGTAGAGGAAAGTCCAGAACAGGACATATGTGAAGAGCCCTCCTATAAGCCCCCCCGTGAAAAGCGGCCTTCGGGATTTAAAGTACTTGTTCCATCGCCGTCCGGCTTTTAACACCAGGAGCACGGAGAGGAGGACGGAAGCCAGGAAGTAGAAGATGAAGCCGTGCAGGCCGGTCAGGCCGAGGATCCCCGCCGTGGCTCCCGACAGGGCCGAGACCGAGGTCCTGCAATAGTCCAGGATGGCGGCGTTGCCCCGCACCGCCGCCTCGCTGATGAACTGCGCCCCCTCGCGCTTGGCCACCACCGCGGCCATGGCTCCCAGCCGGGCTCGGGCTCCTCCTCCCGCCTAACGACACTGGGGTAAAGGAGACACGCGCTGCACGGGCCGCGGGGCGGGCTGGCCCGGCGCAGCCCCGCTCCGCGCTGAAGCGGTGCCTCCCGCGGGGAGCCCGCTCGGCTCCGGGGCGGTCGCTGCCGC